GACAGCGGTCTGGATCTCCCTGGAGGTGATGGTGGAGCGCTTGTTGTAGTGAGCCAGACGGGAGGCCTCCCCGGCGATACGCTCGAAGATGTCGTTGACGAAGGAGTTCATGATGCCCATGGCCTTGGAGGAGATGCCGGTGTCGGGGTGGACCTGCTTCATCACCTTGTAGACATAGATGGCGTAGCTCTCCTTCCTGGTCTTCCTCCTCTTTCTGTCTTTCTTGCCGGCGGTCTTGGTCACGGCTTTCTTGGAGCCCTTCTTGGGCGCTGTTTTCGGTGCTGGATCAGGCATGGTGAGTTACTCGCTGTTTAAGTGAGATACGTGACTGAGACGGTGGGCTGGTGCTTCTTAAATACACGGTATGCAAATGAGGCTGCGCTGTCCCCGCTCTGTCATTGGTTGGTTGTTGGAACGTCAGGGACTGAACGCTGAAGTGTCACAGTGCTACTCGGCTGTCTTTGTGTTTGTTTTTTGGCGGTTAAAAGTGAAAGCTTTATTTAAAATGAGGTAAAGGCAGTGTCTTTTAAAAGTATTCATCACTTTTATCCGTCAAAGTTATTTTTCAAATATATAAAAAAGGTTTTGTTTTATAAACCTGTATATTGTTTCTGACTTTACTCTTTTATATGAAAATGTATTGTTGTTTTTTACCCATTATTTATTAGTTTCTTTTATTGAATGTTTTAAAGTCCCTTTACTGAATGTTATTTTAATGCAAGACTTTATTTCCTGATTTTGTTCTTTTGAATTTGTTTGTTTTTATTGTTTAAATGCGTCTGTCATCAATAAAGTTATATAAAAAAGGAGATGAATTTATGAGGATTTATTGGGTTTATTATTCTTAGAGGAACATGTTTCCTTTTTATTCTATAATTTCACAGCCTGATATTATCATTTAAAAAAGGTCCAGTTTGAAATATTGAGGAGGATCTATTGTCAGAAGTATAATATATTCATAGGTATATTTTCATTAGTGTATAATCAGCTGAGAATAACAATAATTGTGTTTTTATTACCTGAGAATTAGACGTTTTATCTACAGAGGAATATTTCAAAGATCTTATACAAAACATTTTAGAGTTTTAAAAAGTGCAATATCCATAAAATATATAAAATATAGCGATAAATTGATTAAAACACAATTTATTGATAAAGAAGCACCTTGTCAGTGGAATATAAACTGAAATAATATATAATCTATAGTATAAAATACATTTCAGTCTGAATCACACACACAGTAAGTGACGCCATCTAGTGGATCAAATCTGACTAAGTTCACTCAGTTTATTACAGTTCAGTGTTTATTATTTAATATTTAATATGTGAACTGTTGAAAAGAAAGAAAAACTATATGGAATAAAACTTACAGGCTACAGTTATAAATCCTATTTACACCAATTTTATTCTTCTCCTTATTCTTGTTCTTAGTTAATTATAATACTTATTTCAGTATCATTTCTATCACTTTATTACTTTATTTACACTATATATGTACATGTGTAACATTTAAGTTGCTATTCATGCAGTATTTCATATATATGTAGATATATTATAACAATGAGCTGCAAAGCGATGATTGATTAATGATTAATGATTAATGATTGATGATTAATCTCTCAGGGCACCAGGACTCAAAGGGCCCAGCAGGTTTACTTTGCATCAACTGGTCTCATTTAACAGAGAAATACTTGTGAATTTTCACTATTAAAGCACAAAATGAACCCACATATGTCAGATTGTAGGTCCTGTAAGTTTACTTGTTGGTTATTTAGTTGTTTAGTTGGTATTGAAAATGTATACTCAAGTAAAAACACAATTACTGGCAATTACCTATTCAAGTAAAAGTAAAAGGACTACCTGTTTAATAAATTATTCAAAGATATTTTTAAGTAAAATGTAGATTACTGGCTTAAAAATATACTAGATTAAAGTAAAAGTACAGTTTAAAAACAGGAACGTGAGTTTTACTAAAACCTTTACCTTAAACAAACTTTACTCGTGTGTGTTACTCACCTTTAGTTTTAAGGTGTTTAATATGTAAAATATCCCTCAATTAATATGTTTAATTAAATAACAAAGTACAAAAATCCATCCTGTGCGAGACCTTTTCATTTCTGTAAATCTGTTGGGTCGTAAACTAATTAAACAATGAACCACAGGTGAGTTTGTTTCAGTTTATTTCATAACTCTTCTGCATATATTAACAATTTAACAAACAGGAGTCTTTTTTGTTAAAAACACAATGTAACATTAACGGGATGAGGTTTAACATGTGATACACTTAAACCACTTATACACAGAGAAAATAATTTGGCTTATTCAGACCAATTTGGCAGCGTTGTTTTGGGGAATGGTGTCAGTAAAGGTACTTGATGGACGGAGGCAGCTTCACGGATGATTCACACTCACAGGCAGCAAAGACTCCACACAGGAAGGGAAACTACCTCCACTACTGGTGGCAGAACACAACATCCCTGGATAGATATGAACGTATTCAATCGAAACCATGCATTAAAAGAAAGTTACACTTTGCAGGGAGATTCGCCTACAAACAGTTTGCTTTTCAAGAAATGTTGAATAATGTCAAAAATGCAGCAAAAATGTGGATTTGATTGAATAAATTAAACAAATAAACTAATTTGTGGACTTTGTGCTTCAGTTTGTGCCTCTGATGGGATCAAAGTTTGTACATGTGAGGGGTTTTCACCGTCTGTTCAACCAGATAAATTATATATATCCGTATCAATACTCAGAACACCTTTCACAAGCCCCGCCTCCTTTTTGCTCCTAAGTTTGCGTTTTGTAAACATTAGCTAACTTAAGCTGTGACTATATATATTATATATGTGTCTCTTTTATCTTTAAACCATCTTCAAAATGTGGTTGTCTTTTCAACATAGATTAGCCTAGCACGTAGCATATCTACGTACAGGAAAAGAGGAAGTTGACCGAGGTTCGGGACGAAGGATCAATTGATATGAGTTGCTGTAATTTATTATAAAATAAATTCTTATGAATTCAGCTTCTGAATTGAGGTTCAGAGCAGAGGATATTGGCACATTTTACTCTGTTGATACTCGTATTTGTAAATGATCTGTATCGGATATTGATTTCAGCCGAGTACTCGCTGAGTAAACAGCTGTGATTTCATTCAAATCAAACAGTCACACTTTAATAAACTTAATAAAAGCATGTTCACACCAGATATACGTGGTTATAGAAGCTTATATTTGTGCTGGTTAGTTTGCTGAGCTTCTTTCTGCTTTCTATGTACTGATCCTTAACTTCCATTTGTTCTCAGGATTGTACAACATTTAAATCAATAAAAAGTTATTGATATAACTGACGCTAACGAGCTAGCTCACTGACACTAAGCAAGGGAAAGTTCGACACTGGGTTAAAGGAATAAAGATGTACCATTAAAATCAACTTAATTAAATTATTTTCTGAATGAAAAAACACTCAAATGTGAAAATTTCCCTAAAAGGCACAAACTGAATCGTCTGAACCACTGATGCATTTCATTGAGTTCATGAAGAAGAAAAGTGTGTGTGTGTGTGTGTGTGTGTGTGTGAGGTTAGAGCTAATGGAGGATGTTTGTAGGACTTCAGGGGTAAGGCAGGACATCTCCGATCTACACAGTACAGGGATAGCAGCTTCAAGGATACACGTAACACATTTCACAACTGCAGAAAAACAGGATTGAAACAATAAAACAGGAAGTACTGTAAATTCTCAAATAGTGGCCTGGGTCTCTAATGGAAAGATAAATCCTCAAATTTTTAAGTAAGTTTGAGTCTCCGTCTTTCCTGGTCTGTTTTCAGTTTCACATTAAAAGCCTTCAGTTGTTTCTGAGCCATAATCCCTTTACTTAAGACTTTTATTGTGAAACAATTACATACGTTTAAGTTTTATTAGTAGCTTAAAAGCACATAGTTTTTTCTTTTACTTTTATAATAATATCCTGTAGGTCTGAACAATGCTTTTTATTTACATTTTCTTCACACTACCTTTTTCTAAAAGTCAAGAATATCGCACCTCTTTTCTCGCTAGTTTAACATTAATAGAGCAGATCTACTGCTAGCTTAGCAACTAGTGATCCAACGTCAGCTAACAAGGCACAAATCTAACGTTAAATTATTAAAGAAGCTAATGCTGCGTTCTCAGCGTCACATTGGAGCAGCCTGGTGTCAGTGTCAGTAAAGTAGAAACAGCAACAAAGGTTATTGTGGACAGATGCATCGCGATTGTTGTTTCAGTCCCATGTGAAACAAAAAAGATGGTGTTGACTTTTTTTAAGTTACGTACGTAACACAATTTGCGATATTTTCCTAACCAAGTACTTTTGTAGCCTAAACGTAACCAAACTGCACCCTTATCAAGCTTTTGAAAATGTAACTGGATGTTGCATATTTATTATTGCTAGCTTCATGTCAGAATGTGTTGGAAACGTGACACTGACACGGTGGACCAGCGGGTAGAGATGATAAAGATTCCTGTTCTTATCTGTTTGTTGGTGGTTTAAGGACAATAAAATAAAATTATTACCTTAAACAATGAAGTTATTTGTTGGCTTTAAGATGGATGTATTAGAGGTTACCAGTCAAATTTGACCTTTTCGAACTCGGGAATAAACCACTTATAGCTTTTAATTTAGGACCAGATATTATTTCTTACCCAAAGGTCGGTGAGATCTTCAAAATTTTGTTGATTTAATGGTGGACTTTTATCTGAGTTTCTACTTGTCTTCACAAAATCACAATGAACATAGCATCAACATCAACTACCAACAAACTGATTATGGATATTAATTCTTGGCCTTTAGGAAGAAGATATGGTACAAAGGCCTTGAGATGTGGTTGAAAGCTCTGACGCTAGTTTATGAACCTTTATGATTCGATTTGGGAATAAATGACACCTGTAAAGACAAAAGTAGTAACTTACAGTAACTCCCGTAAGACGCGAACGCAGCAGACGATATGGGTGACGCAACGTTGAAAGCAACTGGCAGCGCTACTAGCGTCTTACTATAGTACCTTAAACCAATTCTTACACACAAAGCAGAAACTAACATTATTTAGAGTAGATGTTGTGTTTTGGCCCGAATAACAACAGGTTCACAACATCTAACAAATCAATCGTCATTGGACTCGCGTCACAAATTTGATGACTTTAAACTCAACCTGGACTTGAGTCTTTTGATCTGAAAATACTTGACACCTTCCCCCAAAGCCCAGCACCCTAATTCGGCACAACCCTAACCCTAAACACGACAAAACCTGAATTGTCGTGCCATTTCTTTAAAATCCTTTTTAACAAGGGCATTTTCAGTGCTGTTTTCTTAGCATTAAGCTAGCTGAGGCATCCAAAAATGGCTACTGGGGTTTGGGGGCATCAAAGCAGCGAAGTAGTTATTTTTATGCAATGAATTTTATTGTATATATACCCTACATACTAAGGTCCAGACCTCGGTCAGTGTACTTTGCAGCCAACAGATTTTATTTTTTATAATGAGAAAACAAGCTTCTTCCTGACAACAGCTTGTTTTTTATTGTTTTTTGTTCTGAAAAATGAAAAAAAAAACTTTATTCAATGTGCTTATAAATGTTTTAAATTACTTTTTTTTGTTTCCGATTTTATTTTCACAAATCAATTAATTTCCCTTCATTTCCTGACTGTTTTTCATGTTTGTTGGATCTTATCAGGTTTAAAGACAGAAACATGAAGAGTGTTATGTTACTGATTATACCAAATAAATTTGTTTTGTTTTGTTGTTAAAATGACATTTATATTGGGTGATGACTCAAAGTTTAAGACTTGATCCCACCTCTGGTCATTTCTTATCTTACCTGGACCAAGCTTTTATATGCGACCGAGCCCATTATTCAGCTTTTATTTGAGAATTTACAGCATTTTTTTTTTCTCCCATTCTGCCGAACTCACTCATTCATTTTTCTCACGTACGCTCATGCCACTTATAGTTGCTTGATTGATATGTAGGAGGAAGTACAAAATAACAGCAAGAAGAACAGGCCACACAAAGGTAGATAATACTAAATACTTCAGATTCAAGCCCCTGAAACATACAGTAGAAACCAGAAACATCGCTCAAAAAAAATAATAAGTCCAACAGCTAAGATGAGCTGACGAGAGGAGCCTGCGGTGTCGGCCCCAGACTGCGAGACCCTGAATGCATCTTGCTGTTAGGGACACTAACTTTGTTATCTGAGATAGGCTATGGCTTTGGCCCTGGCGAGAGCGGGAGGGGATGCGGTTGAGGGAAACTAAACTCGGACAAATCGTCTTCAGCGACAACCAAACGTCCTCTCTCCCTTAAAATGTGTTTTTGTTTTTTTTTTCCTCCCCTCATCTTTACACCGTTATCATTTTAGAAAAATAGAAATCAGGAAAACATCATTACAAAAATAAAACCAAAAAGTTCGTCAAAAAGTCTACATCCACATGACAACTTCACATAAATATGGACCGATATTGCACAGCGAGGGATTTTCTTCTGATATGAAGGAAATCACTGACACAATTTGTAGAAAAAAGAAAAATATGTTTAGGACGTTAAAATGATCAAAATTTTGCATGTCCTGGTTAGGTTTTTTTTTTTTTATTCATTGTCTCCAGAGAGATAAAGTGTGGGAGCAGCAGCAGTATGATCCCAGGCCCTCCTACATCAGGCAGATTTATCCTCTGAGTCCTGCTCCAAAGAAAAACAACAACAACAACAACAACAGAAAAAGCAACAAAAAAAAAGCAAAAGCTTCAGAAGTATCACTGGTGAATTTTGGTTGAAGGCACAGAGTTCCAGAAAAGGGCGGTTGGATGCTGATTGTTTGAAGTGCAGCAGCAGTTGTTGGTGAGCGTCCTGGTGGAGGCGGATCGACTCTCCTGATGGTCGGAGGGCAGGGCTTCAACTCTCTGTGGACACAACGAGACCAGAGTGTTTAATGCTGACATTTAAAACATGCAAAAGATGTTGCAGGAGGGTTTTCAGAGAGGTAAATCCAGGAAGTCTGTAGCATCGTTATTAATTAATTAATCAACACTGAACATCATCACAATCTCTTTTTAAGACTCTACAGGTGAATAGGGTAAAAAAAAAAAGCTAAATAGAAATGACCATAAAGCTTCCCTCGTTAATTAGTTTATTATTTATTGTATTAAAAGTAGAAATTTTAAACGTTTAAAAATGCAAATGAGGCATTACGTAACAAAAATGTGCAGATTTGTGGACATTTCCACAGAAATAAGAACACTGGATGAATGTTCAGTCATTTGCTTTCATGCTCTGTGATTTGCCTTTAAATGTAATGAATTGACCATTATTTTGAAAAACCACACACTCATCTAAAGAAAAGACACACTGTTGTAAATCACAATAAAAACAATAATAAATAACAACATACACAGTACAGACAATAACAGATATGGTTCCAGTTTATGAACTTATTAAACTTATTAAAAGCTTTTGGTTGCAGCTCTATAGCGCCCTCCAGAGGACAGTTCTATGAATTCATTAAACAGGGCCCACTGAGGGCCTCTTAGGGCCTCCGTAGAAAATGTTTTCCAGACTTGAATTTTGTACAGACACTAAAGCTGTGAGATGAACTCTCTCTCTGTCGACACATTTAGTAAAAACAGCTTAAAGTGAAGAGTATGGCTCCTGAGAGTGGGCGGTTCCTGCAGGGTGGTCGACAGGTCAGCGTCTATATGTTTGCCTCTGGTCCTCCCGCCCCCCCCCACCTTTCACCATCTTCCTCGAAGTTAATCCTCCCCGCAGCGGCAGATGGTGCTGGGAGCATCCACGGCTGCGGCCTCAACAGCTCCTGTAGTTATGAATGATTGCACGGTCTTAGGCATTAAGTTGGATCAGCGTAATCCACCGCAGCATATGCAGCCGCCCGCTGGGCCAAATCCAGCAGCCAGAACTTCCCTCCATCACTTTCCCCCCCTCGTCAAACGCCTTTCAAGGAGGCTGCGAGGTGTTAACAACTGTGATTGGAGCACAGATCCAAAAAGAGGCAGGGCTTGACCTCACAACATCCTGACAGAAAGTGTGTCAAGATTTATTTTTGCCTTCTCTGAACATACAATTACAAACATATTAGCATCAAATATTCATGTTGCAGCCTATTTCAAAATCTATATTATATTATTGGATTATAATTATTGATTATTGCATCTTAACCTATAATAATATGTCATATTTTATTATAATTTGTATTGATCTGAATCTTAAATAAATGTATTGATGTAAAAAGTAAAATATTTTCCTCTGAAAGTAACAATAATAAAGTGTAAATACTTCTGTTTCATTGACCTCCGCTCACATTTTCATTTTTCATTCATAAACAAATCCCTTCACCTTCCTGTGACCTCACTCGTGAGGATTTTTCTGAATGGCTTACTCATTGATCATCCTGCGATCGCTGATCTCCGACTGATTGATGATTAAACTCAAAACTGGGAGTCACATCAGGTATTTAGTCCCCAAAAACGTCTCACAACATATTAAATCCAAATATACATGACTTTAACAAAGGCTTTAAAAAGTATTAAATGATCATAAATTCACAAAGGTTTTTGTGGTTTATTTATATTTTACCGTCCTGCTTCCCCAAATACTCACTAAAGCATCAACTGTGGATTCATCCACCTCTGAAAATAGTCCCTAACAAATGCTCTATTTTCTCCTGTTTGTTTGGTAAAAATTACTAAAAGTTAAACTTATAGAAGCACATTTCCACCAATGTGACAGGAAAACATGGATTCTGTGAATCATAATGTAAATTATAATGACTTAATATCTCAAAATAATGACCTAATATAGTATCACTAAGTTTCTCAGTATTTTGACTTACATTACGCTTACACATTGGCGTAAATGGGCTTCCATAGAAAACTACATATCTGTGAGCTGCTTTTAAAGATTTACGTCTAACCCTAACCCTAACCCCGAAAGTACTGAGAGACTCAAAAAATTAACTTCAAACTTCTGAATGTCCAAATTTAGATGATACGCATGATTTACCCCGGACATCAATGATTCAACCAGTCAATGTGAAATATAAAAAATCTCTATTAAGTGTTATATTTCTTTATGATTTAGTCTTTGTTAATATACTCCGGTCAGTCTCAGGAATGTCCACTAGGTGGTGCTGCAGTATTTCTCCAGATTTCCCTCCTCTCCTGTGTGGGAGGTTTATTCCTTTATCTCTTGTGTGTGTGTGTGTGTGTGTGTGTGTGTGTGTCAGAGATGCTCTGTTTTGTTTACTTCAACTGTTGTACTTTTCCTCTAATGTCCTTAAAAAAAAACACCAAAAAAAAAACGTTTGTGTGATGATTTCCAGGAAGTCATTTTGTCATTAAAACCCTCAGGACAGGATGAGCTTGTTTCTCAGGACAAAAACCGTCTAGGAAGCTTTAGATTGGCGGAGGTCGTTTCTTTCCCCCCACACACACACACACGCACACACACTTGACCTCTGCAGATGTAATTTTACATTAAGATGAAAACAGTGACATTTGGGCGCTCTCTCTCGCTCCAGCAGTCTCATTCCCCTCAGGACTATTTTAAGCATGAATGTGTCGTGTGTTTGACGATGCAAAGCAGATTAAATACTCTCTATGTATATATATGTGTGTGTGTATTTATACAGTGTTTATAATGTGTGTGTGTGTGTGTTCGGTGCAGGCGGTATGGAGGATTCACCACTAAAGAAGCTCGTCTGGCGTTGCACGGTGGGAATATATGCACAGAGAAAAGCAGTGTGTGTGTTAGATCTGATGATTCACTGCTGGGGTTGTTGAAACATCACGCTAACCTGGAGGCTGTTTTCATTTATTTATTTATTTATTTTTTAATTTTCTGCTGTCAGCTTAGAAACTGTAGGAGAGATTTTATTGGTTTTATGTGTTGTTGTTTTTTTTTAACACTCATTTGGATTTATTTGTGGTTGCCGTGGTAACCGCTTCCAATAAGCTTTTGTGACCTTGACTCTCTCTTTCAACTGATACAGTCACATACATACATATATAGTACATATTATTATTATTATTATTATGCACATAATGTCGTTGCTGAAGGTCATTTGCTTGAATCAATTCTTCACACAGTGTCCTTTATGAAGTTGTATTGATGTTACAGGCAGGAGTACGGAGTCTACGTAGTGACAAAATGTTACTAACAAAGCATCTGATGAGATAAAGTACATATTAAAACGTGAGTATTAAAAAAATACATAATTATGAGTTAATTTAGACAATATTGCAATAATAATCATTGTTAATAAATAATTAAAATCTTTCCATTTTAAAGTGATGAATTAATTTAAATGTTTTAAACTTCACTCTTTATTTATGTTTCCATGTATACTTTACTTTTATTACTAATGTAATAATAAAATGTTTATTCTTTTCGCACTTTATTGAATTAACTTTAAGACTATTTATTATTTTTGTGACTGAACTGTAGCTGCACTACATCGTCGTCGTTTTATTCTCAAAGTTAACAAAAACAGACATTTGCAAGATATTTTTATTATAATCTATCAGCAGCTTTAATTCACTCTTTAATTATTCATTTATGTGTAACATTTGGTTTTTTTTGGGATTCTGTACACGTACAGTTCAATATCTTCAATGTTCAAACTCTTTGTTTCTTTTAATACAATTTATAATATAATAATAAAACAAACCGGCTGGAAAATATGAAAGACTTAGATTACACTAAATATGGGGTACAAGAAGTGACACTACTTTTTTATAATTATTATTATTATTATGTGTCCCAGAGTCATAAAATCATAAATTTGCCAGACTTTGAACATTTAAGATATTGATTATAATCAGCTCTATGAGCCGCTTTAAAACAAGAATATCAGCGTTTGAATTAAACTGATGGAGCCCTCTCGGAGACAGCGATGGTTGAAGAGGTGTGGCTGTTTTTTTTTTTCACCAAAGACCCTCCCTGACCTCCGGCTGTGAAGATGGCCGGCGGATCACATAGCGCACTCGGCATTATGTACTTAATAACAGACACTGCAAATCCCAGCAGGTCGTGTCCCAGCGACAGTCAGCACGACGCTCGATGGAGCCTGCAGGACTTAACTTGAGCCAAAGTGTTTTTGCAACCATTACACAAATACGACTGCAGTTTTAAAAGGATCTGCACACATTTCAGACCTCAGCAGAGGGAAAAACACACACACACATCTCAAATCTGGATGCATAAATTGACCGTATCCAAATCTTTTCACACCCAACCAACCTAATCCAGGGACGGTCTGGCTGTATTTTGCATAGACGGGAATTATGGGAACTCTGACAGTGAGGGGCACTCAAAAGGAGGCCTACAGCTGTTACTGTATATTATACACAAAATACCAGGATTGGTTTCAAACAAACAGACAAAATGATGCATTGAAGTAGTTGCCAAGCTAACGTTAACATGCTACATGCTCACAATGCTAATGTTAAAATCACAATATAGTAATTATGAGCACAGAAGAGGACATAAGATGCTGATGTTCAGCAGGTTTAATGTTTACCATGTTCAGCATTGCAGTTGAAGGTGTTACAATGCTAACTAGTGCAGCTAAAATACCGTCAGTAAACAAAGAGCAAAGAGAAAAGTCCAGAACAAACAGAAAGTTCCTCAAATTTAACATCATGTTAAACAATCCTATTTATATTTAAATGTACGAATTCTGAAACTATATGAGCGAAACTTCAGCAGCCACAAGAAAATGTAAGAATACGACACCTGAAGTAACAGAACCTGCTGGCTCCAGCAGTGAGTCAGTCTCCATAAGGCCTCATTAAAATGTCTTTACATCAGAAATAAACATGTTTACAGCCTGTTGGTCTCTAGAGATAATCTCTGATCAAAACCTTTTATCTGTTGTTGTTTGTATGTTTAAATCCAAACTCATTTATGTTGTCAAGTCATTTTATATGCTTCAATTTTTGTCTATGTATGTACATATGTGTGTATGGATGTATGTTTATTCACTTGTATTTTATCCAATTGGTGAAGCCCTTTGTAACTGAGACTACGGCATTTTTATGTGCCTTTGCTTCAAGTTAACACCTTTAATTTTGAACCAAAAGGTGAAAATCGGCTCTCAGGAGGTTGTAAAATGTTCCTGTGAGCAGAAATAGTCTCCTGTTGTCACAGTATTTCTGCTTCAGTTGCTTCCCTGTTTCTTTTTAATCCGTCTGAGATGAATGAAAGAACATTGCTTGGCGTCGACGCGGCCCACGACTTCACACTCACACGTCCTCGCTGAGAGGAAGAGCGATGGAGATGAACTGCAGTGAGACTGTCTGCTACAGAGACGCTCAACAGAGTCACAGAGGACTGATTTCATCCAACAGCAAACACACTGCTGAGAGTCGCTCTTACGAAGGCATCTGCAGGGGGGGTTGCAGCAGTTACATCACCGAAATGACCAAAATCACAGAGTCTCAGTGTCCGAGATTAGATAACACTTAACAACACGCAGGAGAAAAGATCCCTTCAGTCGCATCCACACACAGATGTTGGTACACAACCTGCTCAGCACCAGGCAGCAGAAAGTGGCTCCTGTGGTCCAACAGCCCAAAACCAACAGACCCATTTCTATTAGGAACTGTGTTTGTAGACGAGTAATTCGCAAACAAAAAAGAAAGAGAGAAACTAACAAACATAATAATTAAGCTATAATAATAATTTAATAAAGTTTACGTTTAATAAACCACATTTTATTTTCAATATTCCCATTTTTCAATGCAATTTTTAATTGCCGTAAACGGTCAACCGCCATAAAACATCTGGAAAACAATATGATTGATGATATTAATTGACTCATAGCCAACGACAATGAATGACTAAAATCCTGCACAATTTTTGAAATGCACAAAAAGTTGCAGTTCAATGCGACTTCAATGCCATCTCACTGTTATTGAGGACAAAAAACAGGTTTTCCACGAATTCAATTAATTTTAAACATCTGAAATTAAGCATTTAAGTGTTTTTCAGCTACAACATTGTGACGTATTTGACCTCTTTATAAATTAAATTTTTTTTACCAATTAAATATGTTTACTGCTAGTCGGGAGGAACTCAAAGGGGGTAAAAGTTTGAGAACCACTGATTTCGGAGACACTTTTCCTACTGAATTAAATAATAATGAATAAAGCACAGCAATAATTTCTCCTGTTATATATTCTGTGTAATAATAAACACAGCACAGTCCTGTGATATAATACTCTGACGTGAACTGAGACCTGGTTCGATTGCTGTGCCCTGCATTTGGCTGAAAGGATGGAAAGTAGTGGACCCCCCCTTCTTGAGTTTGGGAGCTATTTTTAGGAGCTTTAAGAGGGAAAATCCTGTTTCATTATCCACAGACGAGGTGGCACAACTGCGTCATGTAACTCTCTGTATGTGTTTTTGACGTTTTTGTTTTCCGGCTGACTCGCTCCAGCGGCACGTTCGACTCCATGTGCCACATCAGCCATGCATGAACACACAGATTTGATTGCTCAGTAATAATATTCACCATGTCTAACCGGGATATAAATAGACAATATGTGTGTGTGTGTGTTTGTAGTAATCAGAGCGGGAGCTGCTGTTGGTGTCACAGCACAGCTCACACACCAACAGCAGGACGCAGGAGGCGGTGGTCACGAGCTTCCTGACGGGCCAATCGCAGAAGGACCTCGCTTGATTGAATCTCATCGGTCGGCCACCGTTAACGAGGAGGCCTCCGATAAAGCCTCCGGCAGACTGCTGCGAATGCTGGTCACAGATGTATGTCAGCTCTGATGCGGACGTGACGGTGGGACTGTAGTCAGAGCTGGAAACAGTCCCAGATATTAGCACATAGTACTATTTATACTTATACTCATATTTCAGTAGGAAATATTGAACTTTTTACTCCACTACAGTTATTTAAAGTTACTTTGCAGAATTTAAGAATTATTCATAGAAAATAATCAACTAAAATATTAAATATTAAACCTTGCCCAGCAGTAGTAAATACTTGAAAATAGCCACCTTTACTAGCTGCAACATTAGATTAATGCAGAAGTTAAGTTAGCAGTTATCACTTTCACCCAAATCACTGATAAAGTTGTGTTTTTGTACAGTTGTCAGTGAGCTAACTAATGAATCTTCGCTCTGTGACGCTTAAAGTTAAAGATGTCATGATTTTATTGGTTAAAAATTAGTTAACAATCTTCCACAATCTTTTCCTGACCTTCACCAAAGTGCTTTTGATGCCTAAACTGAACCACAGACTGGATCCAGGTCCTGAACCCTGGTCTCCAGAGTCAAAGCGGCCTTCCCTCTGGACCACCTGCAACCTCAGTAATATTAGATAAATGTGGCCTAATCTGGGCAGCATTTGTCATCACAAAATAATTACGAAAACAATTTATCTCTTTATAAATCAAACACTGTTTTGTGCAGTATAGTTTTCTATAGTAGTTCATATTGTTAGTAGCGGAGTCCACCATTCCTGCACTGGATCCAGATTACTTTCACACACACACACAAGGTATTTACAGAAAAAGGTTGCCGTCTGTAATCCAGTGTTTGTAATTTGATCTGATTGATTTACGGTTCACTCTCCTGCAGCCGTATCACAGCGGGATTAAGTGACTGCTAATGCTAACGTTCGGCGCCGACAGTGATTTCTGTACAAATGTCTCATTAGAAACACAGAAGATGTAATTAAGAGATTATATGTAAACGCTGTAGCAGAAACTGAAGACGACAGCAGCTACAATTAATTCAGAGTCGTGATGTTACACAAGAAAGACGAGGCACTTCATGTCCGATCTGAGACGTTTGACGCTCATCGGGACAGACTGCGAGCTGGAAAAGATCCGCCTCAGTTTGACCTTTTGGTCAAAGTGAATTCATTAAGCAGCCCTGCCGAACGCTGCACATCCAGTCCTCCCTGAACCACAAATGAGGGTGGACGGCGAGGCCTCCCAGGGGCCTCAAACTGGCCTCGGGGCCACATTCATGTGTCCGTCATCTCTGCAGCACAGTGGTCACGTCTGAGAGAAGCTACAGCCACTTTATGTTCTGTGTTTCTATCTTATGCAACTTTATACAGATAAATATTGTAGTTTTTACTCTTTAAACTACATTTGTCTGTCCAGTGGAAACCATTAAATCTCCTGATGTGTTGATGTTAAATGTTTGTGATAAATTGAAGGACGTAATGTTTTATGTGAGAAAGGTCTCCAACTTGTAAAGTTAATAAAATATTTAAAACCCTCCCGGATTAGCTGGAAAATGCATCGTCTCAAAGCTGAAAACAGGGCTGTTTAAATCAGAGCTGCCCTGACTAAAGATTGTCCTGTGGACGAGTGGTTGAACATTTATTATATTAATTTAATTATTTAAATATGTGAAGAGTGGCCTGTTAAATTAAATTATTACACATTATTCACACAGTCTGGTTGTTCAAAACAGAATAAATAACTTCCATCTTCACTGAAATAAACCCTGGTGGACTGATTGATACGATGGAACAGTTACTTCAAAACTGTTATGTCCTTACATATAAATCTTGCAGTTTTTACGAGCTTCCGACAAGTGACCAGCTGCTGTGGTTGTAGAGCCGCTTTCAAACGGTCTGTTGCGTTTATAAAGTGTACATATTGCTTCAACTTATGTTGTGTTCCCACCAAAAGCAAAGCAAATATTCACACAATAAATCTGTCTTATAATAAACAGATTTTGTTGTGATTTAATAAACAGATCCAAAGGATGCTGAAATAACTACATCATGATGGCGATTTGCAAAAAGTCTAAACTCACACTTTGTCTGTCTGCAAGACAACAAGGACCAACTTTTATAATGTTTTTTGAATGGAGTTCATTGGAAAGTAAAACTGAACAATTTCCTTTTCTGTCTGGTCTCTGTATAAATATGAAGTATTATCATAAAGCTCTGGTTGCACACAGACAGATACAAGAGAGAGTGAACATAAATCCAATTTTAATACAAAAAGTTACAAAAATAAACAATGTAATAGCTCCTGATCAAGGCAGAATCCGGTATGGGTGTTTATTCCTCCAGAAGCTCCACATACAACACTACAAAAACCTCTGTGATTTTAACAGTTCAATGTCTTTCAATCACACAAAATCGCGAATCAGGTACATTTCTCACAGTCTGCATTTATTCGCATCTTTGCATTGACTTTCGACTATTAGGGGGCAGCCCTACTAATTATACAACTAAATATATAACACATATTTTATATGTTTAACTGCATCCTAACTAGTTTCAAGATGTCTGCCACATTAATTAATATTCATATTATTAATCAGCAGTTTGCTGGAGGTCAACTGTAGCTCCAGTAATAATATATATTCTTCTTTTAGCTCGTCTGTGAGCATCTCTGCCTCCTGCAGGTTCTTCTCTTTGTGAAGCTCTCAGTCAAACAAACATCCTCCATTTCAGAGTCCTTCCCTCATGTCTGTTTCTTTGTGGAGTGTCTGCTGCAGCTCCAGGATCTCGTAATGAAGTAGATCTTTTCTTGGATTTGAGCTCATCTGAGTGCTCTTCTGAGACCCTCTGCGAATCTCAGCAGCGTCTCCAGTGTTTCTCTCTCCGCCTGCATCCTCAAGAGTCGTTCTGTCTCGAGCTGCTGGTTCAGATGATCCAGCAACCACGACGAGTGTCTGCTTTTCAGCTGAATGTTTCCTTTTTTTCCTCCTGGAGCTGTTCAAGAAGTTCCTCCACCGTGAAGACCACCTTCTCGCTGGCTTCAGGTTTCTGAAGCATGGCCCCTCCTTTCAGCTGAGATCAGAGCGTTTAAGCTCCTGATTCTCCAGCTGAAGGGCCTCTGTCTCTTTGGATATGACCTTACTCTCACAGGTACGGAGGTCAGATGTTTAGATGTTGTGCGCACATCTCCAATGTGTTCGAGTGTCTTTCTGAAAACCCCAGGAAAATAATATATATATAATAATATATAATTCAAAATGGCCGATTTCCTGTTGGGTTTAGGATATGGCTCCAAGAGGCTTTTTTATACATCTTAACATGATACACCTGCCCACCAAATTGTGTGTGTGTACATTGGACAGTTTGCAGATATGTTTTATAATCAATATTAATAATTTAGTGGATAAAAAACTAGAAAACGCTTTTGCAAACGAGAGTTATATGAACATATTTTGTGGGTGACGGGGTCGCTGGAGTTTGAATTAAATGATGTTAGAAACAATGCATGTGGGTTGTTAAACATAAAATAAGTTGCAGTGTAAAGTCAGTGTGTTGGTCCTGAAACAAGCAAAGAAAGTAACAGCTCATCACCAGAAACTGTGCCAAAGACTCTCACCTTAATAAACATGCAAGAATCTACTTTCTTGCCAAAATATGTTGCTTGAATCACAGCTCAACTTAATATAGTTTATTAATTCTTACTTTATTTGCAATGCAGACCTCATTATATCTTGTTATTATCTGCGCCCACTCCCATAACATACATAAAGTGACTGAGGAGGCTGTTAAAAGATCACATACTGTTCTCATATTTAAAAATGTATGACCAAAAATATTACAAAAACATGCATTAACCCTCAGAAAGGCTCAATAAGTGTAAAGGCCTTAAAGGTCGAGCACAAAACAAGGGGTTAAAATATTAAAGCAGCTAGAAATGAGAATGCATTTCTAATAAATGTAGGTTTAATATCTGATTGGCTGTTAGCAGCAGCACCCTGAGGTGTCATCATCATCATCATCATCATCAGTAGGTGCTGCGGCGCCCTGCGGCTGATAGTTACGGTGCTGCTCTTGAAGTAGTTGATGCAGAAGTGATGGCAGCAGCCGCTCATGTGGAAACGTTCAGTCAGTCTGGTTAGATAACGTTCGACTGATGCCTCTTTGTTTGCTTGTTTTCTGCTCATTTGATTTATTTTTCCTCTCTGTGCTCACAGAAGCAACGCAGTCAGCAGTGATCCAAATACTGATACTGAAACCTTTGTTACAGCTCCTGAATCTCAGATCTTGTTTTATTAAAGAAATCAGATATTTATTATTATTAAAGCTCTAACCTGTAACATCATCCTCAT